ATTAAAGTTCATTCAACGTCAAAATGTAGTTTCTAATAATATACCTACTTAATATATATGAGTTTTCATTATGATAAATAGAAAGCGACCTACACACTCATGTACCGAAATTGCCTATACACTCGCCGTTCAACGTATATAAACAATGATGTTTGATAAGGATAATAAACAACAATATTTTCTTTATTTTTTTCCTTACACCATAGTTCAGTTTTGTGCATGCGTTAAAGACTCTGAGAGTTCCAATTCCTTGAAATATCTTTTACAAGTGTACAGATAACGCATAACGAAATTAGATATATATATATATAGGTACACTAAAAATTTGAGGCAACAGTTTTTACGTTGAGATCTTGAAAATGTATAGTTATTAAATTGATTTAAACTCAATATAACTCTATGACTTCTATGTATAATTTTAATTTTAATTTATATATTATTATTTTATTATTTATTGCTGTGTAAGTTAAATTTTGATTGTTAACATTATTTTATTTCAGTATGTTATAGTGATTTCATTAAGGTATGGATTTGTATGTATTAATATGAAACTGATAACTGACTATTTTGAGCCTCATGAGTTCATGATATTCCGTATTTGAGCTTAAAATTAGTCATAAGGTACATGTATTTTTTTTTTGTGTGTTATTTTATATGTTATGTTAATTAAATATTTTATTTATTTATTTTTTTACGTCATCTACAAAAAAAATCAGGTGAAAATAAGGGAAATAATCACAAGAAAAATGTTGTTAGCTTAGTAGTTGTTTAAGTGGAGAGGAATGCGGGTATAATATTTTAAAGTTCACTATGGCAGCAATTCAAAAACTTGCCACAGTCTCAGCCATACTGAATTAGGATTTAGAAGCTTTGAAGTTTGTGCCTATATTCTATAACTTCTGTAGACGGCTCTTCAGTCACTACAAAAAAAAAGTTTTGCAACCCAATCAGCGCCCTTTGCCTTTGATAACATCAAAAAGTATACGGTAGTCATTTTTTGACGACAATGAGAATCCATTATAAATTGAAATTGTTTTCATTTTTTGAACTTTGTATTTTTAATTACATATTTAAATAAATATTAATAAATTTAATATATGTGCATAATTTTTAATTTTAAATTAAAAATAATTCCGCACTCTAAATATATTATTAACGAAAAAAAGTAGTTAGTTCTTTACTTAGATTTTTACAAAAATGTGTAATAGAATCTTAGACATTTGCATCATTTTAGACTTATAAATCAATATAATAAATGATTTTAAATTTAAACATATATACATTTTAAATATTTTTTTAAGAAAAAGTCAATATAAGATATTTTGTAGTATTCACTTTTAATGAAAATAACAGTAAAATAAACTACAAAATACACTATGAATGAAAACTCTCTACCAATTTCCAAAATGTTTCCTTATTTGTTTTATACTTTTTGATTAAAAATTATCCAATCACCTAATGAATATAATATTATATATATAATATGAATTACTATATAGTTTTTAACTTTTCAACTTTGCATTTGTTATTTTTTATTGCCTTTATTAACTTATACAGTTACTTATTTGTGGTCAGATTATTGTTTTCTTCGAAGAATACGATTTTAAACATGTATATGTATAAGGTATATAAAACATAATTATACCTACCAATGATTGAGTTAATGTTTAAAATATATAGAATAATGGTTAAATGTAAAATTATTTTATTGTATTACTAGAGTATTAATTTTGTTTAGAATATAAGAAATCAATAGAATTGAAAGAATGTATCTTATAAATAAATGTATTAACGCGCAAATCAATTGATTAATTAGTATGATTGTATGGAAGAGACGAATCGCCCTCATGGTTCTATAATCAGTCTTTGATAAAAACTTCAACCAAAATAAAAATACCCTGCGTGTATTTCGGTAATTAAGTACTATTCATAAATCTACCAAGGGTTTTATAGAAATTAAAATATATAAAACATGCCATTGATTTTGTAAATATTTTCATCAAACTTGTGTGGAAACAGTTCTATGATAAAATAATCACAAAATTGACTTTTGGACAAGAATAATGAATTGAACAATAAACAAAATTACGTTTACAAAAGCACACAATCATTTTAATTAAGTATTTATACGCAAAACTTCATAAATATGTTCAATAATATGAATGTTGTTTACTGTTATACATTTACAATATACTTAATTCATACCTTTTATAATATTTATCCGTTAAAAAAATAATATTTATCAAATGCGTTATTCAAATAAATAAATTTTTTCATAAATTTCAGAATATGTATTCCCAACAAGTAAATTAAAAAGAAAGATCCATTACTAAATATTATAATAGTAAGAGATTAATGAATGTTTCATTAATTCTTGCATAAAATAGTTTCTTTGAGTTCGTTTAAAATACATGGTCGAAATTTAAAAGTCTTAAAAACTTTTTCTTTTACTTAAAATCCCGGTTAAAACTATATTTTTAGATTAACAAATCAAGTCAACATTATTTGTTTTAACTTGTTACAACAAACACTGTTGTATACGTCATGTGGACATATAATATTTAAACATTCAGCAACCGTTAATAATGTTTAAAAGCATTTTTATTTTTTTGACAAAAGTAAGTTCACAACGTCAAGTGTTGATAAATTATGTTTGACTTATGTCATTGTGCTTCTGGGATATGTCACCTCTTACACTGTGATCAAAATCGTATTATTTATTCCTCGACTAGTCTTAAGACTCGTGTGTATTCAAACAGCACACACTTTTTACTCTAAAAATTATTTATTAGACGCATAGAAATATGATTGTGCATTTAAAATGACGAAAATTGTGTGGTGTAGGTATATATGTTTGATAAGGTCACCAGGGACTAGATCTGCCACGCACACGATACCTATATTCACGGCATGTGAAAAAAGATGAAAATTGTCCACTATAATATAATTTATATACTATACGGGTATTGGTATATTTCAAAGCGCAAGTTTACGAATTCACAAAATGTAGGTTGTGCATGCACGTATATTACTTTATACTATAACGATGAATAACAATGGAATTCTGTACAAAAACGAATAATAATAAATAACGAGTAGAGAGTTCGTTCATCTGGTGTATAGTAGGTTTTGAATGTACACCGATATTAATGAGATCATTTAAATGAATCTATTGCATTTAAAAGCAATCAATAAAACGATTTTGAACGGATCTCAGTGTAATAAAAATACCATCATTATATTAATATTTGTTATGTATTTAGTATGTTTAAAATCTTATTGCAAGAGGAAAAATAGGAATAAATATAATATGATTAAGTGTTAAAAAAATCTAACAATTTAAAAGATTTATAAATATCCTAAAGTTTCGGAAAAAAAATTGAAAATATATGAGTCACTATTTTTTATGGAATTACAAAGAAAATATAACAATATTATGTAGTTACTTTAATTTGATGAAATCTTGATTGTACTATTTACCCGTTTTCTAATTTTGTTCTGCTATTTGTTACTTTTTAGTTATTTATTAAAAGTATCCAAAAAATGAAAAATGACCAGAGTAAAAGTACTCTTAATGAAATTGTCTACTGAAAAATGAACGAAAATCGATTGTATTAAGTTTTTTGGGTCAAATACATTTTTTCAGATAAAATAAATAAACAACGCATCATATAACCACTAGTTCCTTCGCTTTGCTTAGAACTTAATACATCGACTAAATAATAATAACAAATTTATTCTGTGTACTTTTTCTTGTAAATTTAACGTTTAAATATCTAATATTAAACGTATTATATAAGGCTTTTATTTAACATAGTATGACACATGACATGCCATTTACGTGTTCGTTTAGATTTTAAATAAATCTTTTGAGTCATTTGTAAACCGTAGAGCTATATTTATAATACAATATAGGCAATAAAATTATATTGTTTACGCAAAGGTGAATAATAACCAATTTTATGACAGTCATTAAAATTTATAGGAAGTGGTTGAAAAAATATATTTAATTATATATCTCTGTTATGGTAATTTATATAAAAAATAATGAATGACTAATCAAATTGATTTTAAGTTGTGCACTTTATTGTTTTATTTATGTACAATATATACATCATATTATCGATTATTTATTTCATATAGACACTCGTGGTAAATTATGCAGGGGCCAGGGGAACGAGTAGAATATAAACATCTTTAAAACTGGATAAGTAAAAAAAAAGGGCAAATAAATATTTTTCATTTTAGTAGTATATACTTTATACACTTAAATACAATATACAGTAAAACCTCTGAATAGCGGACACTCTTGGTCACCAACATTTTGTCCGTTATTCGGAGGTGTCCGTTATTCAGAGGGGATACATTTTTGAAATCTATTTGTATAATAATGTACTATGTATGTATATATTCATACATATAATGTTATTACTTATTATTTATTATAAATTATTACATTTTTATATTTTTATAAATTATTATTAATTACATATTATTATTTAAAGTATATTTTTACAATCAAAATCAAAATCATGTACATGTATTTTTAAATTATTTTTGTTTGAAAAAATCGGCGAGCTTTGTCGAAATCATATCGTCCCATAACGAGTTTGTTATCGTAATTACATTATTACGAGAGTGCATACGTATGTGAATACGTATTATTTTCAAATAATGATTAGGGATTTACCATTATTTTAAAAATTCCATGATAAAATAATGTCCGTTATTTGAAGAGCCCGCTAGTCGGAGGTTTTCCTTTTGAAAAGTAGTGAACATTTTCCCGTTCCCCCCAAAAACGTCCGCTATTGGGAGGTGTTCGTTAGTGGAGGTTTCACTGTATATTATTTAATTATTACAGGTTTGTGATAAACCGATATTTATTTACCATTATTTTATCTTTAAGTTTAATTTCACTCAGTGGCATGTATTAATTTGAGGGAAGTTTATACCTGTCATATTCATTATAATATAAAAATGGAATAAAATATTATACTAACCTCAGTTCCTTGGACTTTCAACTTCATGTGGTCTTCGCGAGTAGTCTTGCCGTCTTTCCTTTTTTTCCAACAATATCCATCACGCCTGTACCGCACTTTTTTCCTGCTATATAATAACATTGAACCACTCTTGGGCCTAAAAATATAAGTTAAGTTCTCGATAAAAACTTAATGTTTAGCAGTTAAGTTAATTTTAAAATAAATTACACATATTAATTATCTATAAGCAATAAGTATATTTAGTATTGATTGCATTTTTTATTCAATATTGTGTATAATGTTGTGTTATTATAATTTACTAATTTAATAAATTACATACTAAAATAAAAATAAATTTAATTTATAAGTTTATTTTATTTTTTAATAATATTTGTACATATTAAAATTTAAACAAACTATTTGTTACATCTATAACTTAGGGAAAGGAAAACAATGAGTAATTTAAATTCAAATTTTTACATTTTCTATTCAAAGATTACTTATCTAATATTTATCGAACAATTTTTAATTTTTAGTTTTCCGTTATAGCTGAAAGGCATATATTATTTAATTTTAAATATTTGGTTGAAGTGTTTCTAATGACATTTAAAAAATGTATGTTATATTAATACATCATTTTTTTTCCTTGTTACATCATAATATATTACAATATAATATATGTCCAAATCGATATTTAAGTATGTGTTAATATTTCAAAGTAGTGTCATTAAAATGCATTTGAATACATATTTTCTAAATAGCAATGTTAAATGGTTTTTATCAGGAATTTTGTCAATACAGGACTAATATAACAAACTTTTTATAAGTATTAAGGGGATTTAATAGATAATGCACATGAGAGATATTGTATATTGGAAAAAATATTGAAACAAAACAACTAAAAATGAGAAGTTAAAGTGAGATGACAAAATACTACATATTTTTAATGATAAACCATCAATATATAGTCTAGAATAAGTTTACCCGAATGGTGTTTTATCCAATGTTAAAATAGTTCAACTTAAATAAAGAATTGGTAGGTAAACTAAACATTAATCATATATTAAGAATTACAAATGTTATATATTTATTTTTTTTCTATTCACTAAGAACAAAACATCATTGAAAAAAGCACCTAATTAAAAATGTTATTAAATAGTTAAGGCATTAAAGATTTTACTAATGATTAGCACTTCAATATATATCTTTTTTTATATACTTATAGAAATTGTATGATTATACAATATAATGGCTATTCATTATTTACTTTCATGAAGTAGTATTTCAAAAAGAAGAAGTGAGGATTCAGTAATTATTTTGTAGCATCGATAAAATAATATATGACCTAGATTTATTCTATTCTAAATCGCATTAAGAAGGATGGTAAGATTTTATTATTACATTGCAAAATATTAATTAATTAATTTTACATTAATCATAATAATTTTAAATGATATGACGTGTGCAAATATTTTGTTCCGTTCACCTGGGTACAGAATAATGTTGAAATAATGTGTTTAATAATTCATGATTCAATCGTTCTAATATTTAATTAATTAAAAAATCAGTTTTTCGAGAATAAGGTAGAATTAATGAGGTAATTTAAAAGCCATTTCTCAAATGTATAGTATTTCAAAAACAAATTGTCACTCAGTTAACCATAATAGTTATATATTATGATAAACCGACTGAAATATAATTGTGAATATCCGTAACAATTATTACTATTTATTGATGTATCTACATTTTCTACTCTATTTATATTATATGTTTTACTATGAAAGACTATATCAAATAAAACTTAATAAATAAATAATTATTATTAAGTTTGTACAACATTTTTTATGTGTTTCTAAAAATATACACTGGTTGTGATAGTTGATGAATCATACATAATTAAATAATATTTGAAAACTTTTTAATTTTTTTTTTTTTTTTTTTTAAATAGCCACATCTTAGGCATACAGTTTAAAAAAAATCGACTTGAATTCGTGCAACTTTTTCAAAGAGACGCTGATTTCCTTTTTTGCGTCCACAAAATTACTGGCACTTAAAATGTTTCTGATGTTCTAAAAGAGTATAAAAAAAAAACCAAGTCACCAGAGGTTTTCGTAAATGATCTTTACTTCGGAATCGCTGTTATAGAGTTCTTTCGAGTAGTTTCTTGACGGGTGACAATTTAATTATTTATTCCTCGTTTATTCGAAAACTTTTCAATCGTGGGCAAAAGGCTACGAAAACATTAACTTCATTTGTAAACTTTAAAATGAAAGTTTTTTTTCGCGCTGTTTTGCAAAACAAGTCAACAACACTCTGCTGTTAGTTATTCACAGAGAGTAGAACTAAAAAAACGAACACGTAGTCTTTAAAGTCATTAAAGAAAACCTCCGGGTCGAGATCATCTGGATGCTTTTTTTCTTTTTTACTTTACCTAGTTACCGATGAACGCAAATAATATGACTTGTTTGATTTTTTTCGCACAGATTTATGCAGTTATAAAGTTAATACAGTACCCTAAGTGTAAGTCAAAGTTTATCAAAAATTTCACCGTCTTGTCCATGCTATTGTTGAAACATTCTATCCTGTGAGCTTAGTTTACGTTTTATAGATATAATTAAGATTATTTATTTAATTTACAAATCAATAATCAATAACAATTGATATTAATCACGAAAACGATTTTTAAGAATGATTATATTATCGTTATCACCCTCATAGTCCTAATTAAACAGATTTGTTAAATATAGTATAATTATGTTTCAAAATATTCATAATTGTGTTTATATTACTTGATATATTTATTTTTTTTTTATGATGCTTTAATGAAAAATAAGGAGATTAAACATACTCAAAAACTATTAACATGCTATTATACTTATAATACTATTTTATTATTGTGGTTAATAAATTAGTATATAGAGTAAATATTTTAATAATTAACATTTTTTATAATTTTTTGAGCTTTTTGAAAATCATTTTAATACAGTTGTGACTTGTAAGTAGGATAAAAATGGAGTGTATACAATATTTTTGTACATAAATAAGGTGAGATAATCTAAAATCATTATTGACTTAGATTTAACTTAAATATAATATAAAATCAATTGATGTGTAAAATACGATTATGAAATAACTAACTATATGACATTTAGACATTTCTAGTCAAATCTAAACTATTTTTTAATTAAAGAACATAAATTGAATAACTATTCTTTCAATATTTTTATGGTTGTAGTATAATTTAAAACTAATCTAATTACAGATAATTTTATATAATAAATTTTGAGAGCTATTTTCTAAGTCATCAGTTGTTTTTCGAAAAATGTCGTTTTACGGTTTTAAAATAACTTTGGATAAATTCTATTTTTCTTCTTCTCTTCTAATTGTACACCGTCTAAAATAAATTTAACGAAAATGAACATTGTAAATTACAAAAAAATATAACATTGAATAAGTCAACAATGGAAAATAATAATAATTATTTTAGGCTCGAAAATTCAATTGATTACTAGTTTTTATATTAACTATAGTACTATACTAAATAAAAAACCAAAAAGTAAATATAAATTTTTAAAAACCTAAGAAAAAAAACTCCTGTACAATTTATATTACACAGTAAAAATAAAATGTACTAAGTTTTATTTATAATGTAAATACTAAATACATTAGTATCTTATGTGAAATTAAATATTAATCAATGTTTTGAACAGGTTTAAACTCTTTTATGTTTAGTAATTTACTTGTGAATTCCATTTCATTTCGGTTTCAAAGTTTTTGATTTGCTCATTTCTATTGCATTCATTTTATTTTTAATTAGTCTAAAAAAATCACACGCAAAAATATTTGATTTATTATATCTTGGGCATTCGGATTTCTGTGTACAAATTTTATCCAACGAATAAAAATAACTGTAAACAAAATAAAAAATATCCAGCCTATAATAGCGATTGATATAAAGAGTTTTTTTAAAAGATCTTCCGCCATTTTTGTATTAATTCTATTTTAAATAAATAAATTTTAAAATTTTACGAGATATATTAAACTGAATAGGCGTATTAATTTTGTATTATGTATCGATATATCATAATGTAGGTACTATTGTTTATTTTGTTAATTAATTAGCCAGTTATAATACAAAAAAAAAATTCAAATATAATATTTAAACACATGATTAAAAAATGTTCCTCAATAACCCAATCTTATAATGGTCATACACCAAACAAAAAATTAATAGAATAATACTAAATAAAACTTCTTTTAGAATAATATCGTATAAATATAATTAAGATATAAATATTAAAATATATATATTTATAGTCGTATTATAGTAATTAACCAATAAATTTAGTATATTATTTTTTATTTAGTGAATATTTGATAAATCTATTATTTTTTTTTTTTTTTTTTTTTTTTTTTTTTATATAACGATATGGCTTATATAACTTTAATTCTAAATAACAAAATTTAAATTTAATTATACAATTAATTGATCTGATTATTATTTGACACATTCACTATGAACGATATCCGCAATATTTTAATTAATCACTGTTCACAAAATATTCTTGATTAAAAAGAGTATTAAAATATTTTTTTATTTAACATATTTAAAATTGGTTAGTGCTTATCGAATAAACTATTTACCTCTTGACTATATTATTTTAGTCGTATGCACAAAATTAAATACGTATTTTTTTATTTTTAAATATTTAAAAAATTTTGAAAATTTAATCCAAAGTTCCTTGTGAGTTTCCCATATGATATCAATTACAAAATATCGAAAATCAGTCAACAAAATTTTATAATGACGAATTTACTTTAAACAATATTATAAATAGTTTATTCTGATTTAAGCACAGGTAAATATAATTTTGTAGCCTGATGTGGCGTGGTGGTTGGCCACTAATGTGTTTTGAGGTCAAGCGTCGGACAGCGTCGGACAGCTTCGCTAGCACTCGGATGGGTGACCATCCGAGTTCTTTGTGATGAATCAATGGCGCATACGCATACACACACTAACCATACTAACCAAACTTTACAAAAAAATCTTACACAAAAAAACCTATTATTTCTATCCACAGCTAATAGCTTTAATTGTTAGGGCTTAAATAATATCAATAAAAAAAATATATATACATATATATAATTTCATGTAGA